CAAGCTTCTCCAGCCTTTTCCATCTTCACTGCTCCAATCCCATCTTCATCACCATCCAATCAACTCATCCAATTTTGATACTCTCTTCTTCCTTCCTTCCTTCCTTCCTTCCTTCCTTTCTTCCTTCCTTCCTTCTTTCCTTCCTTCCTTCCTTCCTTCCTTCCTTTCTCTTTCTTCTTTATATATATATATATATATATATATAAATTTTTTTGCCAGTCATGGGGCTTGAATTCAGGGCCTGGGCACTGTCCCTGAGCTTTTTTTGCTCAAGGCTAGCACTCTACCACTTGAGCTACAACACCACTTTTTTTCTGAGTATATGGTACTGAGGAATTGAACCCAGGGCTTCATGCATGCTAGGCAAGCACTCTACTACTAAGCCACGTTCCCAGCCCAATTTTGATCTTTAATAACAGGAATCACACAATGTGTGCAGCAATTCCCCAGGTCTCCAGACTTAACTCACTCCTGGTTACATATAGCTACATTGCAGGTAACTAGTGGTACATGCCTGTAATCCTGGTTACTCAAGAAGCTGAGATCTGAGGATCGAGTCTTGAAGCCAACCCAGTCAGGAAAGTCCATGAGACTGCTATCTCCAATTAACTATCACCAAAAAGCTAGAAGTGGAGCTGTGGCTCAAGTGGTAGAGCACCAGTCTTGAGTGAAAAAGCTCAGGGACAGTACTCAGGACCTGAGTTAAAGCCCTAAGATTGGCGCATGCACACACACACACACACACACACACACACACACACACACACACACACACACCTCTCCAAATATATTGAATAGAAAATTCTAGAAATACTTTGTAAGCTTTAGTTTTCATTCTATCCTGAGGGCTGTGATGAAATTTCACACCATCCCCAGCAGGGCTCCATCCTGCTGTGGGTGTGAGCTGTCCTTCATCCTACAGATTTACCCTGAGGAGGAGGTCCCTGGAGGTCACTCTGAGCTGAGGAGTATGGGATGCTGCAGTGATATCCAGCCTTGGTTGTCAGGTTTGGTGTCATGGTGCGTGGAGCACTTACCAAGGGTTCCTGGTAGAGAAGGAGGCTGCATTCCATGGGGGGGGGGGGCATCTGTGTCCCCAGATCAGGGTGGAGGCCCTGCCACATGTCAGCTGCCCACCCACAGATGGACATTTGCTTGGTTTCCTGTCTGGGAATGCTGTGGACAAGGTGGCTGCAAACCTTCTGAGCATTGTTTGGCAGAGGGAAGTGTTTGTTCCTCTTGGGGGAGCATTTAGGAGCGGAATTGCTGCGTCTTAAGGGGTGGGACTTGGACCAGGGGATCTCAGTAAACAACAGCAGTCCAGACTGCATGATCTTGAGTTATCACTCCCCACAGCAGCTGCCAGTGTCTCTTCCAACTCCCTCTAGCAACCGTGCAGCAGAAATTTACTCCAGTCCAGGATGGCTTTCATCTCTTCTCCCTTTGTGAGGTGGGGTCCATCTCTTACAATTGAAGGGCCCACTGGTCCTTCAGCTAAGAGAAAAACTTTTCCCCTAAAGGAATATTGAAGTGGGCATAATAACACACTCCTGTAATTCCAGCACAGGGGAGGCTAAGACAGGGGAATCAAGAGTTTGAAGCCAGCTCAGGCTACATACTGAGAAACAAACAAATGCACACACACACACACACACACACACACACACACACACACACACACACAAAACAAAACAAAACAACAACTAGGGGACACAGAATTGCCTTCCTATGGACACTTGGGGACTATGGCCTGGAGCACTGCCCCTCCTCACAAGACAGGGGGCCCCAGCCAGAGCTCAGCACCCACATAGCCTAAGGAGGATGGTAGGTAGCTGAAACTGCAAGAAGGTGGGCAGGAGGGACCAGATAGGGACATATGTCCTCACTTTGAGGACTGAGCCCATAGATGAAGGCTTGTCTGCTTGCTGATTCCCACGCCAGGGCCTTAGCTGGGGTGAGATCTCCTCTGGGGGCCATATGGAATTCAGGACTGGCTCATTCACTCACCCCAGCTGTCAGCCATAGACCTGACACAGTCAAGCTGGGGATAACCCAGACAGAGATCCCCACTATCCCATTCCCAGCCTTCTCTGGGCCGTGACCCCAGAGTGGTGAGTGGAAGGGCTCGGCGACCAGAGGTGCTGCTGTCCCCACCCCTCCTTGGCCCTCAGCCCAGACTCAGGTTCCTCTCTTCCCAGAACTCTATCCCCTGAGTGGCGTTGCGTGCCTGACCTTCATTAACCTTCTGAACCTTCCAGAAACAATTGGAAATGCCCTGCCTCATTTCTGTTCCCCCACCCCCTGAAGCCAGTGGTATGGATGGGGAAGGTAAGGACTACCAGGGATGCTGCTGGAAATCAGAGATCTGGGGGTCCCGGGGAACTGTCCTGGGAGGGGGCTCTGCCATCTTGGACCAGATTCACACAGCAGAAGGTAGGTCTCCAGGCTTCCTTGCGGCCTACCTGCCCTCCGTGGCCTGGCTGACTCTCCTATATCAGTTGGCCGAGAGCTGAGATTGCAGGCTTGCACTTCCTCCTGGGCCTTCCCTTCCCCTTCACATATTTTGTGTGGGACCCCCTCACTGCCCACACCCAGTCAGGACAGGACCCTGCCCCTTGTCCCCCTCCACACTCCCTTTTCCTGATTAGTGAAAGTGTCAATGACAGGAGGACCCAGGGACTTGGGATTCACAGGTGGGAGTTGTTGGCTTCTATTCTAGATGCATGGTCAGAACTGTGCCCTGTCCAGCTCCTGTCAGGAGGCAGGAGGATCGTGAGTTGAAGGCCAGCTTGAGCAAAGTTAGTGAGACCTTTGTCTCAAACCAAAATATAGCCGGGCACTGGTGGCTCACGCCTGTAATCTTGGCTACTCAGGAGGCTGAGATCTGAGGATCACAGTTCAAAGCCAGCCTGGGCAGGAAAGTCCATGAAACTCTTACCTCCAATAAACCACCAGAAAACAGGAAGTGGTCCTATGGCTCAAGTGGTAGAGCGCTAGCCTTGAGCTGAAGAGCTGAGGGGCAGAGCCCAGGCCCAGAGTTCAAGCCCCACAACCGACAAAATAAAATAAAAACTACAAGCCAGGCACTAGTGGCTCACCCCTTTAATCCTAGCTACTCGGAAGACGGACATCTGAGGATTGCAGTTCAAAGCCAGTCCGGGCAGGAAAGTCTCAAAGGAGGGAAGGGCAGATACAGGGTTCGTGGTTCAGGAGGAGAAGCTCCCATGAGCCCATGCTCCTTCCTAGACCCCCAGCTTCTCCAGTGGTACCTTGCCCTCACTTTGTGCAGGGAGGTACAAGGTGGCTAGATGTAGCCAGATCACAGGGTAGGAGGTCAAGGCCGGTCATGTCTCCCCTGGCTATGATCCTCTGTCCCTGCTCCTGCCTGGCCCATGATCACTGTTCCTGGTTCTGAAAACAAAGCACCACACCCTTCCTCCCATCAGCCCTGGGGTCCACTAGTGCATGTGGCCCCATTTGTGGCCGTCCTGCCCACACCTTTGGAGCTGCTCTTGATTGCCCTGCCCAGGGAGCCATCTGTTTCCTGCCAGGCCCCGCCCACACCAGCACGGGCAAGGCCCCGCCCACACGGGCAAAGGTCCTCGGCGGCAAGGCATTCAAGACCACTCCACTCAACCTTCGCTTTTTACTGGAGGGGAAACTGAGGCTAGGTCCCTGAAATGGTCTGTCCACAGTCATGAAGCTCCAGACTGTTTGGCAAAGGTGGTGAGAGCAGAGGCCGGAGGCTGCTGTCCCTCTCTGCCTGCCTCTCCCAGCCCCTCTGTCCCTAGGTCACATGAACAAGCCTTTCCCCCGTGGAGGCCACACGTCTGCATGGACTAGTAAACCATCAGGGCTGCTTGCAGGCACCTGGGAGCCATGCCAGCCCCTCCTTCACTGCACCCCCCGCCAGCGGGCAGTGGGGATACTCAGGCCAGAGTTTGTATGAGCCAGCAGTGGGCCCTTAGATGCCCAGGTGCAGAGCAGGGCCAGCACCCTGGACTAGGCATGGGGCAGGGTCCATGCTGTGCTTCACACTCACTTCTTGTGCTCATGCCCCAGCCTGGGCTGCTTCCCCAGGAAGTGTGGACTGGGACGGGTGGGAAGTTTAGATGGCATGTGCCCAGCCCCCAGCCGCTGGGTGAAGGGTGCTAGAGACACAGCCCTGCAGGCTTCCTGTAGGAGGAGGCTGGCTGGGCAGGACAGGGCAAGTGCCCAGCCGCTGAGGCTTGAAGAGAAGTTAGAGTTGTTGGCTTGGATGAGTCTGTGGCCTAGGACCCTGAGCCTCAGCCCTGGTTTTCTATCTCCTGGACAGTTCCTAGAGGAGCTGAAGCAGGGGTAGGGGGAGCAGGAGGACTGCCTACCCCCTCAGTGACCAGGAGCGATGGCACACATGCCTGTAATCCCAGCACTCAGGAGGCTGAGGAGGAGGAGCCTGATGTTGAGGCCAGCCAGGGCTACACAGCAAGACTGTCTCAGAGGGAGAGGAGATGGGGGGGGGGGGGGGGGGAGGAAGATACCTCGGGGCTGGCGGATTCATGCCTGTAATCCTAAATACTCAGGAGGCTGGGATCCGAGGGTCTCAGTTGAAAGCCAGCTGAAGCAGGAAAATCTGTGAGATTCCAATTAAGTTCAATTGAATTCAAGCTCCAACACTGGCAAGAAGGGAAGAGGAGGAAGAGGAGCAGGAGGAGGGAGGAGAAGAACATGGAGGAGGAGAACAGGGTGGAGGAGAGAGAAGAGGAGGAGGAGTAAGAAGAAGGAGGGGATGAGGAGGGGGAGGGGAAGGAGGAAAACCACGGGCACTCTGGTGCATAATACCCTAGCCATGCAGAATGGTGTTTGGAACATTTATTTCTGATAAGAACAGATCCAAGCCTTGGGCTAAGGACATGTCCCCTTCAACAATCTCTCTCTCTTGGGGTTCCAGAAGATTCCAGGCATGCCACAGTTCTGTCTCTGTGTCCTGGTCAAGGGAGGAGGCAGCAGGGCAGCCTAGGACTCCCAGAGCTGCTCAGGAGGTGTCCATGGTCACAGGGCCTAGCGTGTGGTGAGGACTGTAACTTCTTATGTGAACCTGCTCCACTGGGCTGGGGACAGCCTTGCCCCTGCAGCTGAGGGGGGAAAGGAGGGAAGAGGTCTGAGGGCCTGCACAATGCACACACATTGCCCAGAGTCCCACCCATTACAGGGTTGTTTTTTTCTTTTTCTCTTTTTGCAAAGGCCATTTGGCAGATGATGTTGGGTAGTATTGATTTGTATGTGTGTGTGTGTGTGTGTGTGCACGCACGCGCCAGCCCTGAGGCTTGAACTCATGGCTTGAACGCTGGTCTTAAGCCTCTTTGTGCTCAATGCTAGCACTCTAACACAGCACCATTTCTGGCCTTTTCGGTAGTTTATTGGAGATAAGAGTCTCATGGACTTTTCTGCCAGGGCTGGCTTTGAAGTACGATCCTCAGATCTTAGTGTCCTGAGTATGATTACAGGCGTGAGCCATCAGCACCTGGCTTTAGCATTAATATTTATGTTTTGTTTTTCTTTTTAAAACTCCTAAGGTGACTCTTGGATTCCACCTGAGGTTGTCTGGGCAGGGCCAGAACAAATGGCTTTCAGGCTTTGTGGCCAATAGTCCCACCTGTGCCCCACCCAGCTCCTTTCCCTCCATCCCTTGCCATTGTCCAGCCCCCAGGCCACCCATACACCCCAGGAGCACCCTAAAGCATTGGCCATATTTCATTGTCTTTTTTTTTTTTTTTGGTCAGTCATGGGGCCTGAACTCTGGGCCTGGGCGCTGTCCTTCAGCTCTTCAGCTCAAGGCTAGCACTCTACCACTTGAGCCACAGCGCCACTTCTGGCCTTTTCTGCTTATGTGGTGCTGAGGAATCGAACCCAGGGCCTCATGCATGGGAGGGCAAGCACTTTGCCACTAAGCCACCTTCCCAGCCCTTCCAGTCCTTTCTACTTTAGTTTTTCTCTCCTCCACTTGAGTGTTTGGGATGACATACATGAACCCCAATGCCTGGCCTACAGACCCCTGATCAAAGCTCTATGGGCCTAGGAGCTGCAGCGCAGTTCTTCAGCTGGGCACCCAGACCCTCCAGGCCTTGCCAGGCTGCCAGCCACTCTCCCGCACCCCACCTCCCTACCCACTTCCTGAAGCTGCCACTCTAGCCCCTTCAGCAGCCAGGACTCTCTTTCCTCTGCACCCAGCCTCTCCCTGCCAGGCCCAGCATGAACTGGGTCTGAAACCTGGAGACAATGCTAAGCACAAACCAACCAACCTTGAAGTCCACTGCCTACCCACTTGCAATTCCAGACACCGACACCAGGGGGCGAGTGTCAACCCTGCCTGTCCTTCAGGGACCAGTCCCACAGGTGGTAGTGAGAAGGGGCCCGGCCAGGGCAGCCTGAGGGGCTCTGCAGATCCAGCCCTGTCCACTCACCATGTGTGGATGAGCAGGATGAGGAGGGCAATGAGGAGGATGGCCAGCAGGATGGATAGGATGGCAATGATGACCACGGTGCCCTCACTCTGGGCCCCTGGGGCTGCTTGGAAAGCCTGGGCTGTGGAACCAGATGGAGCCCACACAGGTGGGTAGGAAAATGGGCAAAGAGATTTGATTTCCCAGGAGAAGGGACTTTGGGGCAGCCTCCAGATGAACCACATTTCACCCAAGCTAGGTCAGGAGTGAGGGGGCAGGCTGGGGGTGGGGGACAGGGGTGAGGGAGCAGGGATGAGTGACAGGCTGGGGGAGGGGGCAGGGGAAAAGGGCAAGGGGAGGGGGCAGCTTGTGGGCAGGGGCAGGGGTTAAGTGTGAGGGGGCAGGCTGGAGGAGGGGGCGCCTGCAGGAGTTCCCTCAGTCTCTAGAGTTCACGGAAGTCCCCCGGCCCCCATTGCTCCCACCTTGGGGTAGGAATATATCCTTGGACCACTCCGTGTCAGCCACAGGTCCACTGTCGTTCATCACCAGGAACTTCACCCTGAACAGGAGACCCAGCACTGGGGGTGGGGGTCCCCTGGGTTTCGAGAGCTTCAGACCCAATGTCTGACTCCCAGGCCTGCGGTGGGTGAGGGGCTGGGGCTAAAGAACACAGCCCCAGAGCCTAACAGCACGTACTGAAACCTAATCTTCCTGCTGTGGGGCAGGGGTGCACCCCTCGCTTCTCTGGACCTCCATCATCTCCTTTGACAGGGAGGGGTTAGATCCCTTGGCACCAAGTGTGAGTCAATCAAGCACTTTTCCCTGTGTGCAGCGCGCCCTGTCTGCACGGGTGCTCCATCTGCATGGCCCAAGTGGCCCCAGGGGAGGGGGCTATGGCCTGAGTTGGGGGAGCCCAGGCGCCCTGCGTGGGCTCTGCTCACCTGTAGGGGCCGGGGCCGGGCAGTGGGGTGTTACAGCTCAGCTTCTCAGGGGCACAGTGGGTGTCATTACCCACCCGGAGCAAGCGGAGCTGGCCACCGGGCCGGTCACCCAGGTAGCGCTCCCGGCTGGCCCTCAGGGTGAGGTAGAAGCTGCGGTGGGGGAGGTCAGCAGGCACAGGGCTGTCCTCTATCCTTGGGGGGTCAGTGAAACTCTGGGTGGCTGAGGGCAGCATTAGGGGGGTCAGCTGGTCAGCCTGGATAGCCACACCCCCGCCCAGCTGCCCACTTCCCAGGGGGAGGAGCAAGGCCCGGTGCCCTGGCACCTCTGGCACCCACCGTTGCTCAGGGCCACCACCAGCCAGATGGGGTCGAGATCCGAGATGGGGGAGCTGTTGAACTGGTCCAGGGGCTGCTCCAGTGCAAAGGTGGACTGGGTGCGCTGCCCTGCCAGGCTGGCATCCAAGAACCGGGGCACGTAGCCGATGCGCTCTGGGAGGCAGAGGGAGAGAGGCTGATCGGAGAGGGAATGGGGGTTTTTACTGTGAAGTCAGGCCAGCCAGGACTTAGTGGGCCCCTGGCAGCCCAAGGGGTCATGTGAGGGCCAGAGTGCAGCTCTGGAGGGCTCCTGAGTGCCTGCAAGGGGTGGGTGTGGGGGCCCTGCTGGCCCCACCTGTGTGACAGGGTGGGAACATGAACTGGAGGAGCTCAGAGACCCCTCCCTGGGGAGAGCAGGACCAGGTTCCCAGAGCCTGGGCAGGCCTCACCCTCTGTGCAAGTGGCCTTGCGTCTACCCTCTACTTGGTTTGGGAATATTGAGTAGCTTGGGGATGCAGGGGTGACTCAGGAAGGCCATCTCCACCTAGACCTCTGGCCCAGACATGACCCATCCATCAGGGACCACTGGCTCTGAGGCCATGGGCTGATCTAGAACTTTCTACTTCCCACCCAGTTCTCAGCCTTCTCCATCTGCTCCACCCTGCACCAGGCCCCTCCCCCTCTGACGCTAGACCCAGGAGCCCCTCAGGGAGCCCGTACCCCCTCATGCCTGTCTGTGGACCCACTGAAACTAGAGCAGGATCACAGCACTCCCCTGCTCCCAGGCCCCAGAACTGGGCTGAGCCCGATAAGGTGGGCTTCATGTAAAGACCAGCAGACTCCCCTCCCCCTTCATGCAGCCCCCAACTCCAAAGGATCCCAATAGAACCATCCAGAGTCTTCCACCATGAGGCGGGGCGGGGGGGGGAGAGGGGGTGCCATTTGAGTCCCTACCCAGTTCTCTGTCCTATCACCCAGGACTAGGGTGCTATGTATACAGCAGGTGCTTAATGCTTAATGTCTGCTCAGTGAAGGAGGAGGCACCCAGCCATGGAGAGAGGGGCTATGCTGGAGAGCCCTTAGTGAGTTTTGGGGGGTGAACCCCAAGAGGAGAAAAGAAGCATGCCTGCTTCCAGGTTTGGGGAAAGGGGCTAAGTTCCATCTCGTGATCATTTCTGCACGGCTGCCCCCAACCAAGGCGAGGGGGCTCCGGAGACAGCCAATGAGTCAGGGCTCCCACGCTCCAGCCCCGTCACTCACCCACGCCGGCCCCTGGCCGGACACCGGCCAGCAGCAGCAAGGACGGCAGCAGCCAGACGCTGAGCCCCATGGCTGTGCTGCGCCTCCGGGGGCCTGTCCGTCCGTCCGTCCATGTGTTGTCCATCTGCAGCATCGGCGGGGAAGCCAGGTCTGCACAGGGCAGGAAGGAGGGCTGCCCCTGGCATCTGATTGCCCCACCCTCTGCCCCTTCCTCTCAGACAACTGGTCGGACAGGTTTTGGGGGGGGCAGAGCCTGGACGTGGTGGGTTTGGCATCGCCAGGGAGGGTCTGGAAAGAATGGTACAGACAAGCCCAGACACCCCCGCCCTCCAAAGAGGCTGTGTGTGTGTGTGTGTGTGTGTGTGTGTGTGTGTGTGTGTGTGTGTGTGTGTGTGTGTGTACAGGTCCTGGGGCTTGAACTTCTGCTCCTGGACCTTTTTCACTCAAGGCTGATGCTCTACCATTTGAGTCATAGCTCCACTTCCCGCTTGTTGGCAGTTCATTGGGAGATATAAGTCTCAGGCACTTTCTTGCCCAGGCTGGCTTTGAAGCCAGATCCTTGGATGTCAACCTCCTGTGTAGCTGGGATTACAGCCATGAGCCACCAGCACTAGGCTGAGCTCAGGGATTTTTGAGGGACTTCCATACAGTTCTGTATCACAGCTCACCTCATTTACATTTACCAATACTGTATGAGTGAGCTTTTACACACACACACACACACACACACACACACACACACACACACACACACACACATCCTCACCAGCATGTGTAATGTTGGAGGGGGAGGTTGCATCTTGGCCTATTTGATTTGCATTTCTCCAGTGGCTAATGAAATGGAGCTTTTGTTCTTCTTCATAAATGTGTAGACCATTTGCATTTCTTCTTTTGAAGTGTCTGTTCTTGAACCCCACATGCTGAGCTGGGTGTGGTAGCACCCACATGTAATCCCAGTGCTTGAAGTTAGAACCAGGAGGATTCCCAGTTTGAGGCCAGTTTACATAGCAAGACTCTGTCTTGACCATCAAGGGCTTCACAGTCATGGTCTCCAGTGTACACTATGTAAAACACGCGCTATGCAACTTATGGGCAGGGATGGGGGTGGGGGGAGGAAGGGGTGACATCATCCAAGAAGCATTGAACTCATTACCTGACAGGGAATTGTAACCCCTTTGTACAACTCTTTTTTTTTTTGTTTGTCAGTTATGAGGCTTGAACTCTGGGCCTGGGCACTGTCCCTCAGCTTAAAGCTCAAGGCTAGCGCTCTACCCCTTGAGCCACAGCACCACTTCTGGTTTTCTGATGGTTAATTAGAGATAAGAGTCCCATGGAGTTTCCTGCCCAAGCTGGCTTTGAACTGTGATCCATCAGATTTCAGCCTCCTTATTAGCTAGGATTACAGGCCTGAGCCACCAGCGTCCAGCCCTGTACAACTCCTTAATAGTAACAGTTTTAAAAAGGAAAAAAAAGGGACTGGGAAGGTGGCTTAGTGGTAGAGCGCTTGCCTTGCATGCATGAGGCCCTGGGTTCGATTCCTCAGCACCACATAAGCAAAAAGAAAAAAGCCAGAAGTGGTGCTGTGGCTCAAGTGGTAGAGCGCTAGCCTTGAGATGAAGAGCTGAGGGACAGCGCCCAGGCCCGAGTTCAGGCCCCACAACCGGACCAAAAAAAAATGCTCAGAGACAGAGCCCAACAACAAGCCCAAAAAAAAATTTAAATGCAGGGTTTTGTATAGTTCAATGGTGGAGTGTTTGCCTAGCACTTATAAATGTTGGGTTCAATCTCCAATACCACTGATAAATAAAGCAACAATGAAAACCACTCATGCTGCTCTGGGAATGTAGTTAAGTAGTAGAATACATGGCTTGCATGTGTAAAGTCTTAGATTCAGTCCCTAGCAACACACTCACACACACACACATACACACACACACACACACACACACACACACTCATCCACACCTACTCACAACACTCTGCAACACTGGGTGCCCAAGTTCCCTCAATAAACTGGATTCTATTAAAATATATACTTAAATTTATTATCTAAACCAGTAAATAATACTTACATTACTAAATATCAATAATTAATAATTAATAATGGATAATTATTGATATCACACTGATGTGGTTAATTATTAGTATGTTATTTTAATTTTTTTTTTTGTCAGTCATGGGGTTTCAATTCTGGGCCTGGGCGCTGTCCCTCAGCTCTTCAGCTCAAGGCTAGTACTCTACCACTTGAGCCACAGTACCACTTCCAGTTTTCAGGTGGTTAATTGGAGATAAGATTCTCATGGACATTCCTGCCCAGTATGGCTTTGAACTGCTGTCCTCAAATCTCAGCCTCCTGAGTAGCTACTAACAGACATGAGCCACTGGTGCCCAGCTATATTTTATTTTTGGGGGGGGAGGGGGTCAGTTGTGGGGCCTGAACTCTGGGCCTGGGCACTGTCCCTCAGCTCTGCAGCTCAAGGCTAGCACTCTACCACTTGAACCACAGCACCACTTCTGGCTTTTTTCTTTTTGCTTATGTGGTGCTGAGGAATCGAACCCAGGGCCTCATGCATGCGAGGCAAGTGCTCTACCACTGAGCCACCTTCCCAGCCCTATTTTAATTTTTTAATTGTTATCATAAAGGTGATGTACAGAGGGGTTACAGTTACATAACTCAGGTAATGAGTACATTTCTTTCTTTTTTATTTTTTTGTGTCAGTCCTGGGCTTGAACTCAGAGCCTGGGCCCTGTCCCTGAGCCTCTTTGTGCTCAAGGCTAGCGCTCTACCACTTGTACCACAGTGTCACTTCTGGCTTTTCTGAGTAGTTTATTGGAGATAAGAGTCTCATGAACTTTCCTACCCAGGCTGACTTTGAACCGTGATCCTCAGATCTCGGCCTCCTGAGTATCTAGGATTAGAGACGTGAGCTACCGGTGCCTAGCCTAAGTACATTTCTTTTTGGACAATGTCACCCCTCCCTTGCTCTTTCCCAGTTTTTCCCTCCTATCCTCACCCACAAGCTGTGTAGCTCATTTTCAACATAGTGTCCAGTGAGTACCACTGCGGCATTTGTTCACCCTTTGTTCATCCATTTCTGTGTCCCCTTATCCTACCAAAGACAGCTAAATGAACAAACAAAATAAAATAGAAGAAACCAGAAATGCAACAAAGAAAAACACCTCTTGTTTTCACTTGCTGGAGTTCTTTTTTTTTTTTTTTGGGTCCGGTCATGGGGCTTGAACTCTGGGCCTGGGCGCTGTCCCTCAGCTCTTCAGCTCAAGGCTAGTGCTCTACCACTTGAGCCACAGCACCACTTCCGGCTTTTTTCTTTTTGTTTATGTGGTGCTGAGGAATCAAACCCAGGGCCTCCGGCATGCAAGGCAAGCGCTCTACCACTGAGCCACCTTCCCAGACCTGGAGTTCATTTTGATAAATACTATTTTCTATGATCAGGGGCACAGAGACGTTGCATCTTTGTGCTCCTCCCCCTAAGAGTGTCCTCTTTGGGTCTTGCTGTGTGTGAATGCCTAGCAAAATATAGTCATTATTAATGATTATTAAATGATTATAATTTAAGTAATAACCAATTAAATTTTTGTGCATGAAATAAAATCACACAGTGTGGGATTTTCCTCTGGTTAGCATAATGGTGGTATTCAAAGAGTTTTGGATTTGGGAGCTTTTTGGATTTTCATACTTGAGATATTAATATATACGTATGCATACAGATATATACAGATAAATAGACATCATCATGCACGTGTGTGCATGTGCATGCACACACACATAATTAGCTTTCTTTCTCCTCACTCCCTTTTAGAAAAGCAGCTGGCAGCGGACGTGGCCCCACGGAAGGGCAGATTTTCCCCCTCCACAAGCTCCATCTTGCTCATCCACTCTTCCTCTTCCCAGGCCCCAGAACTGGGTAGGGCAAACGTTCAGATTAATCTCATCATGCGGATGACAGCACTGGCCTCAGCAAAGGGAGGAACTTGCTGTACTTCCACGCCAAGTACGGTGCTGCTCACCTGTAGTCCTGGCGCTCAGAAGGCTGAGATAGGAGAATCACTTGAGCCCTGGAGTTTGAATCTAGATTGGGCCGTATAAAAATACACACACAGCCGGGCGCTGGTGGCTCACGCCTGTAATCCTAGCTACTCAGGAGGCTGAGATCTGAGGATCGCAGTTCAAAGCCAGCCCGGGCAGGAGAGACCGTGAGACTCCTATCTCCAATAAACCACCAGAAAACCGGAAGTGGCGCTGTAGCTCAAGTGGTAGAGCACTCGCTTTGAGCTGAAGAGCTGAGGGACAGCGCTCAGGCCCAGAGTTCAAGCCCCACGACCGACAAAAAAAAAAAAAAAAAAAAAAAAAAAAATACACACACACACACACACACACACACCAGACACACACACACACACACACACAGACACACACACCAGACACACACACACACACTCACACACACACACAGACACACACACACACACACACACACACCAGACACACACACACACACTCACACACACACACAGACACACACACACACACACACACACACACACCAGACACACACACACACACACACACACATCACACACCAGACACACACACACACACTCACACACACACACAGACACACACACCAGACACACACACACACACTCACACACACACACAGACACACACACACACACACACACATCACACACACACACACACACACACCAGACACACACACACACACACACACACACACACACCAGACACACACACACACACACACACACACACCAGACACACACACACACACACACACACACACACACACACACCAGACACACACACACACACACACACACACACACACACACACACACACACCCTGCATGATCCAGGGACAAGCTTTGGCCAGCCAGATGGACCCTCGGGAACCACAGTGCTACCTGATTCCCAACCTTCTCCTCTAGGCAAGTCTTCATCTGAGACACTGCCACCTCTAGGAAGCCCTCTTGGTGCTCCACAGCCAGGCGAGGCCAGTGGCTGCCCTGGGCTCCAGCCTACTGCTGTCCTTGTTGATTCCCTGGTCTGGACTTTCAGCCTAAGTTCCCAGAGATGATTGAAGACCTGAC